TTTTTTTTTTTTTTTTTTTTTTTTTTTTTTTTTTTTTTTTTTTTTTTTTTACATTGGCTAGTTTATGTTTATGATTGATGAAATTAATCTGTGTGTTTTGCAGACAGTATTTTGTGCATGTTGATGATACCGTTCCTCAGAAGGTTAGCCTTTTCTTAGACCTCAACTTTCGTTTTAATGGAGTTTGGATGTTAAATTGATTAATCTTAAACTTTGGGGATTTGTGACAAAATTCTTTGAGAGTTTGTGTATCTAAGATGATCCGATAAATGATACATCCCTTAGTTTATTGCACCGCTAGTAAATATTGTCCGCTTTGACTCGTTATGTATCGTCGTTAGCCTCACGGTTTAAAAAACGTGTCTACTAGGGAGAGATTTCCACACCTCATATCTTCTGTGCCCCCGAGTAACAAGACTTGTGGAGTATTGGTATATGAAGATGATTATATTTGTTTTCTTTGCTTCTGTAGGTTGTTGTTCACAAGAATAGTCCAAGAGGAATACATTTTAGACGAGCTGGCCCTCGCCAACGGGTAAGCTCTGTCTCCATTCCTTTCACTATCTGTGCATGATTTCTAATATCAGCTTTTAGTTATTGAGTTGTTATGGCTTGTTGTTCAGATATACTTTAAGGCAGACGAGGTTCACGCTTGCATTGTGACATGTGGGGGTCTTTGCCCTGGACTCAACACTGTGATTAGGGAACTAGTTTGTGGCTTATACAATATGTATGGAGTCAAGAAGGTTCTGGGCATTGAAGTAAGTGATTGCCTTAAGCCAGTGATTGATTTACTATAGCTGTTGGTTAAATAGGGACCAATGCTGAAAGTGACTTGCAGGGTGGATATAGAGGTTTCTATTCTAAGAATACCATTCATTTAACTCCAAAGTTTGTGAATGATATCCATAAACGCGGTGGAACTGTCCTTGGGACATCACGAGGTGGCCACGATACCTCAAAAATAGTTGACAGCATTCAAGATCGTGGCATCAATCAGGTGTGAACACTATCATTATGCAATTTTGGTGGAAAAGTAGATTCTTGGACCTAAGTTCATTGCTATTCTTTCTGCAGGTTTATATAATTGGTGGAGATGGAACGCAGAGGGGAGCATCTGCTATATATGAGGTAACATTGGGAAGGATATTCTCGTTTTTCTTTTTTCTTGATGCAAAACGCAGATAATTTTGATCTCGAGTGGCTTAGCCCCACTTTTCGTTATATATGGTTCTTACGGGAAATAAATGATTATTTGTACCTCAGGAGGTCAGAAGAAGAGGGCTCAAAGTTGCAGTTGTTGGTATCCCGAAAACCATTGATAACGACATCCCGGTACGTTGTTCATGTTCCAACACTGACTATTGTGGTAAATTAGATTGTT